GGGCAGGTGGATGTGGCTATCAAAGAGATCCGAATAGAAGCCATGGGTAATCTCCATTGCCCTTCTCAAAGATGTGATCAATTCATCAGGATATCAGAGGGCAGTCATCTTTGTCTTGTAGTTGGCGAAGGGCAGGTGGGCATTGTGAATGCTTTTCCCAGCTTCTACCACATCTGTCAGCACTGCTGCTCTTCTCTCTTTGAGGTCTTTATCGCTTGTCTGCACTGCTTTTTGAGCTCAGATGTTTACTTGTAGTTGTCTGAGGCTTGTGCCAAGACACATTGACAAATTTGCTCAAGAGTTTTCAAAGACAGGTGTCTTTTTGTGGCTATCTCTCTCTCAGCATTCTTCACACAATCATGGGGTTCTGAACCAGCCGATCCTAATTCTCGTCAATGCTGTGAACTAAGGCATCTTCCCATGTTGCCTCAATAGTGCCAAAGAGCTCCCAGTTGGTGGTCATTCTGGGAGTACTCTTCTTAAACTTTGCAGCCCTTTCGTCCCACTGTGTCAAGTAGAATTTTGCACAAAGGAGACAGTGGTCCGATCTTGATTGGAATTTTGGGACAACAGTGACATAGGTCATGCAAAGCCATCAATTGAATATGATGTGGTCAATTTCGTTGTGGAACCATCCACAGGGAGACTCCTATGTCCAACATTTACATTTGGCCTTCTGGAACTGTGAGTTACCATGGACGGTCTTGGTGGACACGATGAACTCAGATAGTCTCTCAACCTGTTCGTTCCATTCTAGGCCATGGATCCCGATGTGTTCTTTGGCTGATCTTCTTGGTCCTATCTTGGCATTAAAATCACCAACAATGATCTTGTAGAAGGTGTGGTCTTCTTTATAGAACTTCTCCAGCTCATGTAGAACTTCTCAATTTCTTCTTCATCATAATTGGGTATTGGTGCATAGATAACGAAGATAGAAACTCCCAGCAGTGAGCTACATCTATTCAAGTGTAATCAACGATTTGGATTGTTAGGCATTCAAATGAATCAATGCTCATGGCCAAGTCTGTGTTGACAAGGACACTGACACCACTGAGGTCTCTTTTGTCGCAGGTTCCGAGGAACAGCTCTTCTTCAGTGTCGAAAACGGTGTGATGTGATTGATGCCTTCTTGTCTCGGTCAGACCAATGATGTCATACTTGATCTGCCACGCTTGCACCATCAAGTCCTCAATGGATGCATCTGATGCCAGCGCACATGCATTAAAAATACAGACAGTAATTTTTGTCCTTCTTCATTTGGGCAGCCTAGATCAGCCTTGAGATTTTATCAGTCTCTCCTTGCTCATCCTTAATGCTGCCGTATTGGTGGCTCTTTCAGGGTCCGAGCAAGGAGACCCATTGTATTTACTGGTTTTGGCATATCGAATATGCCACGAATTGCTTGCTAGGCTCTGTCATGCAGGCAGGATACTCTCGGTAGCTTGCCAGGCTTTCCAAGAATGATAGAGGCTTTTAGGGCAGCCTCTAATCACACTTGCAGGTGTTCCCATGGTTCAAACCATATTTGAACCCCATCAAAAATGGTGCAGTAATCTTGGAAGATGGGTATTAAGTGTCTTATGATATGTCGGTCTGGAATGCAGTGTGGTGGCGGCTGGGTAGTGGAGGTAGTGGAATTCTGCCAATGAGGTTATTTATCTGGTACTGGTAGGGTGGGTCTTCTGGGTGTAATCTCTGGGTCCCCGGAGATTGGTGGGAGCAGGCAGGGTGTGTTGGGTTGTGTTTCTGGATTTAATCCCTGGGTTGCCAGAGACTGGTGGGAGCAGGCAGAGATCTCTGTTCCTGGTTCCATTGAGCCTGGAGTCCAAGGTCACTGAGTTCCGCTAACCTGGTTCTGTGAGGCTTCACTCATGTGTGAGTCTCTGTCTGAGTGTTTGGAAAGTGGCCTGGAGCATTTAGTGGCTGGGTAGTGGAGATAGTGGAGGTAGTGGAAGTCTACCAGTGAGATAGTGGAGGTCTCCCCTAACTCAAACTTCCAATTTTGAAAGTATGGTAAAATACTACACATGCTGAAGGGTGTGTGATTGCGGGCTCTCCAGGGCAGCTATGTCTCACCGCCTGCATTCGGTGCTCTAGAGCTGCTGTGTGTGCACTGGATCAGGACAGCTATTGGGCAAGGGCAGGTGAAGGAAAGAACGAGAGCCAGGCTGGTTGATCTCAATAGCTGTTTATTCCAATATCATCCCCGTTCACTCCTATTCCTCTCTCTCCTTCTCTCCCAGTCCCCAATCCGGACCCCCCAGCCTATTCTTACAGCCTCTTTAGTCCTCAAAGCATGAGGGGTTGGGCTTACACATAGGTGTGGTCACAATCAATAGTTAAAGTTCTTTCCCTCAGGGGATAAGATGACATCTTATCAGTTTCTAGGACAGATTCTCTTTTCCTGAACAACCCATCCAAGGGCAGAATACCATTGGTGTGTTTCTCCTCTCCTTGTTCAACAAGCACATAAGCATTCGTAGTATTAATCATCTTGTATGGACACAGTAAGAGATGCATAAAGCTTATAGAGTTGCTCTCCTGGGATCATCTCGATCTCAGACTACAGTGCTCAGGCCAGATTAGTTTCTCCTATCCCTAGCAGGGTCCTAGTCTCGTCGTTACTTTTGCATCATGACAGCATTTGTCCATGATCAAACTCTTAACTTACATTAAGAATCGTAGTGTTTTGGCGTGGCCCATTTCAATGTCAGGGTAGCTCACAACTTGCCCTGGGTCCCTTCAGTCCCTCGTTGGGACCCTGCTTTTGGGGTGCTAGGAACTGAGGGCAACTGAAGTTTAAGTTGAGAAAGCAGATGCTCAGGAATGAATAATATTCGAACCCAATTAAATCCCAAGTTACAAAAAGATAATATTAATTCTCTTCTTGTGTCTATACAAAAGGACATTGCCTTAAAGTAAACCATTCAAAAGACATAAGGAGAGGAAAAAGGCATTTTCACTTACAAGTTCAGTGTCCTAGAAAGATCTGACCTTACAAATTAATAGAAAGTGATTAGGGGAATAAGCTGATTAACTGGTTGGGGAAGAGAGCATAGAGAAGTGGTTACAGATAAACAAAAAAATGGGAGTGACTCAGGAGCACTTTGATGGGTGTGACCCAATAAACTTAAGCTCCTTGTAGCAAGGGAGAAAGGACAAAGCAATGTCATGCTACATATGTGAAAGGCATTTAGGTTTAGGTAGGAAATTTTAGATTACCTCCTCAGAAACAATATCAGACTGCATATATATTTAGTTACAGATAAATTTTGGCTTCCAGGGAAACAAAGAAAGTGACTTTTTTATTGCAAAAATTCTATCTATTCACAATCACAATCACAACCATCCTGTTATTCGTCGATTGCCTCGAGCAGGCCCCAGTAATGTCTCCTTTGTCCTAGCCCTGAGATTTTTCTTAAAAAGTGCCATATTTAAGGCTCTTTCAGAGTTAGGAGAATGAGACTCTTCATTGTTACTGGTATTTGGCATATTGGCTATGCCACGGGGAGTTTGCCAGACTCTTCCGTGTGGACAGGTTACATTCGGTAGCCTTCCAGTTTGTCCAAAGTAGGAAGGAGATGATAAGATGTCGCGCGGCCGCAGCATGGTGGTGGCTGGTTCTGGAGGTCTTCGGCTGCCGGAGTCCTGGTCGGGGTGGGGAGGAAACTCAACCTGCTCCCCTCCAAGGAGCCCTGGTGAGGACAGTCAGGCACGGGGGCAGGAGACTGTGCTGTTCTCTTCCGGGAGCTGGGTTTTATAGTCTCTGAGTCTTGGCCGTTGATGGGATTACATGGCGCCAGGGGGCCAGTTGGTGGGTGTGACCCCCGCCTACTGGAATTTGGAGGATCTGGGTGGAGGAAGCTCAGCCCCAATCCGAGTAGGCTTGGAGATCTCAGCCCCGGGACCCGCGTGCCTTTGTTCCTCTGCCAGTACCTTCATGTGTGTGGAGAGTGGTCTCAGAATGGTGGTGACTGGTTCTGGAGGTCTATCTATTGCTCAGCAATATTTCCTTTTAGAATGTGGATCTTTAGAATGTGGTCATTATCTTGAAATGCTTCTGGCTTAAATTAAGATACTATCTTTCCTTTTCTTGTAAATAATGACCATATCATTTTCATTAAATAACATAGATCTTTTGGAAAAAAAACACATTTACCATTGAAAGAAGAACATTTCCAACTCCCATCATCATATGCAAAAGGGTAGAATTAGTATTCTATGAAGCAATTATACACATTGTTTGAGTTACTAAATAGAGGGGGAAAAACGGATAAATGATCTGAGGGGATGTTTGGGAGGAAGCAAACAAGAAAAATTCGCATAATATTTATATCGATTTCTATGAACAGAATTTTAGGTTAACTCTACAAGTATAATTTTTAAAGAACTTAAATATATACTTGAATCTAATGCAAAGAATAAGGAAACACACTTTGAAAAAGGAAATTACTGAACTAAAGATTAATGTACTTTACTCTGAAAAGGGAGATGCTAATTATGAAGAACATAAAAATGCTTTAATTAAATTGTCATATACTGTACCACTGTCATCCCATTGTTAATGGATTTACTCAAGCAGGCGCCAGTAACATCTCCATTTATCCCAGCCCTGAGATTTTAGTAGCCTCTCCTTACTTGTCTTTCCCAACAGTTAGAGGCTCTTCCATAGTCAGGGGAATGTTATTGTTATTGTTTTTGGCCACAAGTAGCTTGCCAGGCTCTGTCAGGCAGGTGGGATACTCTCCGTAGCTTGCTGGGCTCTCCAAGAGGTACATATATATGTTTCCCTCTATAATTTGTTGCCTGTTGTCTGAACCTCATCAAATATGGTGTGGTAATTATGGAAATTGAGTAGGGAGTGTCTTATGATGTGTCCAGGAATATGTTCACTCATGCATGAAACTTGGCCTGAGCATGTGGAAAGTGACCTGAAGTGTGGTGGCAGTTGGGTAGTAGAGCTTGGCTGCTGGGGCTGGGTCCCTTGGAGTGGGTGAAACTATTTCCAATCCATTTCTTCTTTTATACGCTGCAGCATCTTCATTATGTTGTGTGATGAGGAGACTCCACAAGACTGCGGTGTTGCCCAAGGTCAGCCCCACTTTGAGCCAGTCGGGTTTGTCATTTGGTGGCTCCCGGATGTAGAACTTTGACTGCGCCAGCAAGGCATGAGGGAGACAGGCGGGGAGCAGCAGCTGGAGAAGGGGGCACAGTAGGCAGGACAGCGCCATCTTGCAGGCCGGCCACTTTCTTCCTTTAATTTCTTTAGTTTTTTTTTTCAATTTATTGAGGTACTAGTATTTACAATACTGTTAACTCTACTTTCCATGTATCCAATACCACACCCATTACCAGAGAACCCATTGCCCTCCACCAATGTCCCACGTTCCCCTCTCCTGTAAGCTCCCATGTAAATTCAGTTCTATGACAAAATCTCCAGATTTATAATTTTGGTCATTTGTTCTTCACTCACTATGCTTCTTTATATCCCACACAAGAAAGAGATTTTTGTAAAATTTATTGTAGGAGTGTTGATGAAAAGTAAAGCTCCTGAAATTCCACTAAGTTGTAAAGTTGATAAAAATAAAAAAAATAAAAGTGAACCAGGGAGAATTGAGAAATATGTTTAGGGAAAAATCTAAATAGACCTATAATAGTATGAAAATGTATTTTATCAAAAAAATGGAATATAGACTTTATGTTAGAAAATATATTATAGAGTGCCTAAGTGTCTGCATTAATAAGAAAATAGCTTACAATAAAAATCTCTACAGAGGTACAAAAATCACCTGACTAGACATAGCATAGTCAATATAAATGAAACATATCTGCTCTGGGCTTACCTCTGTGCTCTGGGATAAATCCTGGCAGTGTTTGGGGCACCATACGTAGTACTGAGGATTGAATCTGATAGACGTCATGCAAGGCAAATGCCTTGCCTGTATAAGGGGTACTATTGTTGTACTATTCCTTTGTCCACTAAGAAATACTTGCAAATAAATCTTTCTACTCCTCGGGATGGAACTTTGTACTGGGGAGCCTATAGGGAGGGGAGGGTAATGAGGAGAAAATGGGAGGTTGCTCCTTCTCTTTTTTCTCTGAAACCACTTTTAGGGTGCTAAACTGGGTAAGTGGAAGAGTGAGGAGCAAGAAATAAAAAAGAGAATGTGCAGAGATGCCTTCTTTGATTGATACTTTAAATTGAAAGTAATGCATTTGTATACACAAATACACACCATGGGATACATTTAGCATTTCTTAATGACTAAGCAAAATTATTTATTTAAGGTTATTTAAAAAATGACCCTGGGAAATATTATTGACAAGTTAGAAAAAGAATTAGGATCCTTGCGTCAAAACACACTGTAAAACAAAATTACAGATTTAGTACAGGGTTTGTAACAAAAAAAAACTTAAAAGGAAGAAAAGAGAAGTCATGTAAATATTTACTTTACTCAAGCAAGGAGAAAGGTCATTCTGTGAATAAAATCGCCAAGAGGCAGTATTTTAAAGCATATGCATAAAATTAGGATGCATATCTCAAAAGTGCTGTGAAGTTATAGATAATTTGAGAAACAGTAATTTGTAAATTAACAGATTAATGTCACTTAAAATTTTTAAATTTAATTATTTCAGTAGAATACATTTTAAGTTATATCAAGAAAATGTTTGTTTCAGAAATGTGCTTATCATTTGTCATCAATTAAAATGACTAATTGAAAAATATATATTAAAAGATTTATATGTTAATTCCATATGATGCAGTTATACAAATATATTTTATTTTATTTTTATGTTATATAGGTTACAGGTCTAAATCATTATAATATCTATATTTTATATTAAGTTTACCACTAATTTTAATCTTATTTTCAATAAATTGGCTGTTTTTACCCGTGGTGTACTCAATATGCCAAAACCAATAACAGGCTACACTACACTAGCATGCGACAGGGACGAATGGAGACATTACTGGCATCTGCTTGAGCAAATTGATGAACAATGGGATGACAGTGATGCAGTAACAGTGATTCTATTTTTATTTATTTTTTTTTACAAAATTTATACAGATTCCCTTCCCTACTTTCTTTCTGGTTTAACCACAATTGGTTCCATAGCATAAAATTTATTTTTTTAAAAGTAAATATATTTTAGAAGTTTATGTTTTTAAAGTTTTAAAGTCTAAGAGTTAAAATTTTTTATTTGGTTTCTTTTTTTTCTACATATAGCATTGTATATAATTTGTATGTCTTTCTCTGATTTATTTCAACCAGTATAATCTTCTCTAGGCCCATCCCTATTGTTACAAATGACAAGATTATCCTAATAGCCAAGTGTGCACAGATGTCACTTTTTTTTTTAAACCTTCCTCAATTATCTGTCAGTGGATACCATTATTTTCAACTCTTGGCTGGTGTCAATAAACTTGGGCTGTACATAGCTCTTTGATCATTTTTTCTATTTTTATGTAAATTCTATAGTGGAATAAGTGGTAATCCACTTATTATGGGATTTCTATTGTTTTATTATTGAGGAATCAATCTGCATACTCCTTTACATGTACCTCATCCATTTCCGTTCCCTCCATTCCCATCAACAGTTTAAATGTTTCCTTTCCTCCATATCCTCTTAACACTTGTCTCTTGTCTTTTATTTTTTTTAGTTCTTTAATAATTTTTTATTCATATGTCATTTTATTTTTTATTAGTAAAAAACCATGAGGTACAGTTGCAGACTTACAAGTTTTTGTGCTTGGGTTTCAGTTATACAATGATCGAGTACCCATCCCACCAGCAGTGCCCATTCTCCACCCCCACCAATCCCAGTATTCTTCCCACCTCCCCACCCCCCATCCCACCCTGCCTCTGTGGCACGGCACTCCCTTTTGTTCTCTTTCTCCTTTTGGGTGCTGTGGTTTGCAGGACAGGCATTGGGTGGCAATCATGTTCGGTCTATATTCTACTTTCAGCATGGGTCTCGCATCCTGGGCAGATCTTCCCAGCACCCTTTATTTGGTGCTCCCTTCTCTATCTGAGCTGCCTTTACCCCTAGAGTACACAGCCATCCTACTAGTGTGAGAGAACATCTCATTGTTATTCTGAGCTGGCTGTGTTTTTGTAAAAAGAAATGATGAACATCTTTTCACATGCTTATAGGCCTCTAATATGCAGTGTCTCTGAAGTCAATATAAGTTCTAGGAAAAAAACTATAAAACTTTGAGAAAACAAACACAATAGAAGAGAATCCTTAGAGATAGAAATAGGCAAAATTTTACACTAAAAGTAGCACTGTCTTCCCATTGTTCATTGGTTTCCTCAAGCAGGCACGAGAAACATCTCCATTGTGAAACTTGTTGTTACTGTGTTTGGCATATCGAATACACCATGGGGAGCTTGCCAGGCTTTGCAGTGGGGGCGGAATACTCTCGGTAGTTTATCGGGCTCTCCGAAAGGGGCAAAGAAATCGAATCCAGGTCGGCCGCATGCAAGGCAAATGCCCCACCCGCTATGCTATTGCTCCAGATTGGTTGGTTTTCATCAGAAGTAGAAATGAAAGACATTTAAGATTAAGAGACTAATTCAGACTTGGGAATTACATTCAGTAAACATGTATTAAAATGACATATTTAAAAATATGTAAAGAACATTCAAAATAGCCTACTAAATTAGAGAATGTTACTTAAAGTCATTAGGAAAAAGCACTAGTTATCAGAATCACTAGGTTAAAAAAATTTAAATCAATGATAAACTAAAGAGGAAAATAGAAAACTACTGATAAAGACCAGTTGAGTTGACCACAAAAAATTATGCTACAAGAAAAAAGCTATTCTCAAAGAATATATGGATATATGTATGTGTAGATATATGTACATATACATATGTTAGGTAAATTTATATTTTCAATTTATATAACATTTATATAGCATAATTATAAACATGTATAAAAGACTAATGGTTTTTAGAAGTTAGGCATGAGGTGAAACTGAGGTATATTAACTCTAAACAGATAGGACAAAGGAGTCTTATGATGATGACATAGTTAATATATTGATTATAGTGGTGTTCACAGAGAGCTAACATAAAATTTCAGATAACTACTATACACACTAAAGAAACATGTGCATGTGTAAATGATAGGTCTGAATAAATTTGGATTTTCCACATGCCAATTGGTTTCACTGTTCATTATAGTTAGGCTTAGTGTTTATAGTGGTAGTACAAAATTATATATGTAGTTGATTTTATAATTTAATATTTTATTTTATAATTATTCAACATTAAAAACACTTGTGGAAATAAAGTGTGACAATAATGTAAGATAAAGATTTAGGGATGATTTTCAAAATAGAAGAGAAATGATATAATATTTACTAGCATAAATTATATGTATATTGACTTCTCAGTTTTATATCTTTGTTTTATAGCAGAGAAAAATTGAAAAAAAAACAGGGTCTATTGACAGAAATAACAGACACACTGGTTAGTTGGCATGCAGCATTCCTTGGCATAAAGGCATTGCCCAAGTTTATGGGCATTGTTATATCTATGACTCCAAAAGCCTTTTTGGGTCAAAGCAAGCAGACTTTATATAAACATCCTGTTTTTGTTCAAATTATTTTCTGGAGTAATAATAAAATTTTATAGTGAAATATTAAAGGAATGGGTACCACATAAGGAAATTACTTTTATAGAGATATCAAGATATATTTTTATTCTACTCAGGAAGACTTAAAAGAGTTCTTGTTACCATCAGTGATGGAACTGTTGTTATGATGGAATTACTAGTCCACTTGTTAGTTCTCTTTCTGATATTCTCCATGAGTTGGATGAAAAACGAAGACTTCCTATTCTTGAAGTTCGTAGGGGAGGTAGTGGGTGGGAGATCTTAGAGGAAACTTCAGAGAAATAGAAAAAAAAATTGAAGGGTTCATGAGATGAAAGAAAGAAAGAAAGAAAGAAAGAAAGAAAGAAAGAAAGAAGGAAAGAAAGAAAGAAAGAAAGAAAGAAAGAAAGAAAGAAAGAAAGAAAGAAAGAAAGAAAGAAAGAAAAAGGAAAAAGAAAAGCTAACAAACCAACATTGTGCCTTTTCAAGAGATTATAAAGAAGGCTAAGTAGGTATCTAGGAGTAGGGTCATGGCTACAATTCTCTGCTTTGCATATTCTCAAAGACCAAAGACAGTAAGTAGGAAACAAGCACTGCCATTAGAAAGCCACATGGAAGGACTCCATCT